CAGAACAACTATGGCGCTTTCTCAGAACCTCTGTGCTGCCTGTTTACCCACTTCCCTGTCACTCTGCCTCTGTTTGATAGTTCATCGGTGTGTGGGGGGAGGAGAACAGCGCACTGGGTCGAAGAACGGACTATATTATAATCCTCTGAATTCTCTTTTTGCGGACGGAGTCACCTGAAGTGTGCTCTCCACTTGTCCTCTAGTTTCACCTTCTGTATCTCCAGGAATACATTAGCCCATTTTACTGTACTGTCTCAGTTCCGGGACTACACTGCTGCCGCTTTTCTGTTTCTGGGTTGTGGCAGTGCCGTGTAATATCTGTCCATATAGAGTTCAGTACCAAATTGTGTTATCTTGCTTTGAACAGTGTGTGTGTGTGTGTGTGTGTGTGTGTGTGTGTGTGTGTGTGAGTGTGTGGATGTACGGACAGATGGATGGATGGAAGGACGGAGTATGTGTTTGAGAGAGAGGAGAGGGAGGGGTTGGCCATTTGATCCTCTGCAGCAAAAAAAACAGAGATGCTCTCTTCAAATGTCAGCCGCCTTCAGTGGTGCGCAGATAAAAAAAGTCCCCAGAAGCGCATTAGAAATAAACACCGGGTGTCGGGGAGGCAGGCTCGAGCTGCACATTTTGCCAGATTTTGAAGTGCCCCGCTTGTCGGATTCGCCCCGAGACAGCGCTGCGGTGCAGAATGTGAGCCTGTGCGTTGTTTTTCTTTACTATCCCCTCGCTTTGCTTAGATGGCCACGTAATGTGTGCGCACGGTCTGTCAAAGTACCTGCGTCCTAAGATGGAGGAAAGAGATGAGGGATGATGATACACAGTGTTATGTCACTGGCTCTTTAAGTTACTCTCCCTGCTAGAAGCCTATTAGACGGCTTAATATGGCTTCATCACCGAGGAGCGCTGCTCTGATGAGAAAGTTCAGCTGTTAGTTAATCGTTCAGGGTTGGAAGCAGGCTAGGCTAAATCCATCGAAACGCATACTCCCCAGTGCTCCTGCTAGAAAAGCATCCACCTATATAAACAGCAGGCTATAATGCATATTTTGTTTGTTTATTTTTTTAGGGAAAAGGTCTTTTAAATGACAACCTACATGCTTGTCTCCAAAGATAGTTGACTGATATTAATGGTGGAATTTCTGATCATATTTCACTGACTTTACCTGCTTAAAAGGTTAAGAACAGTGCTCTGTTTGGCTGTGAAGCCTCAAAACTGAGTCTGCAGTTGTAGTTGTGTTTAAAGGTCATCAACTATTTACCTGATGAAGCCTGTGGAAAGGCACAGAAGGAGCCTTTACTCTGAGTAAAGCTGCAAGTCTATTGTTGGGTTTACTGTAGAATGTAGGATTTAATGCATCATAGGCAGAAATGATAAAACACCTATTGTTTCTCTTCTGTTTACTTTTGCTGTCAAATGTAGCCTAGTTTCAGAGGATTACAGAATTAGGTTATTGGTGCCTTATGCTGTCAGTGGAGGCTGTAACAGTGGAGTATAGAGCTGCATATACAAGCCCGAATATGAAGTTGCTTCTGTTTTTCTTTTTGTTACCCTGATAGGAGGAAACCTCTCTATTTATAAAGGTCTGAACACTCCATGGCGAGGACAGCAGGTGTCGGAGGAGGGGGCGCAATAAACATGTTGGAGCAGCAGCTGGGGCCAAATTGCACCCTCGTCATTCAAAGCCTATCAAAAATCTAAGCAATACAAGCAGAGGTCAGGGTTGGCCAGGCCTTCAATGGAGAGGAGGCATTTAAAAGGAAAGCCTGGAAAGAATGAATTTCATGCCCTGCTTTAAAAAGGGAAATAAATACATTTTTTAAATTAATTAAAAAGGTAGATGAATGTGCATAAATTCTCAGATGGGCAGAGAGAAGAGTATGACATGCAAAAGTGAGCGTCCCACACTGCTGCCTAAGGCGTGGGCTTTCAGCTGCACAGGAACATACAGTTTGTGATCTGTTTTCTAAGCAGCGCTATTACATTTGTGTTGTTTCTCAGATGGTGAGGTCAGGGTGGCCCCCAGGGGAGCTCTGCCAAATACTGGTTACGGTTTTAAAATGGCACCGCCTTCCCTTCCACACCACCACCCGTAAACTCTCATCCTATAACTGACAGTCTTTCCTGTAACTGTGCTCTGTTTTCTTTGACCTTCAGGCTGGGATGTGGAAACTCGGGGGTTCTAAACCTCAAAATGAAGGCTTTTGACATAATTAGTGATATAAAACCATTTTTTTCTACATCATAAATCTGATTTTCACATCTGCCAGATAATCTGGGCACTCAGTTTGTTTTGTCCCATGACACAAAGAAACCAGGGAGGGAAACAACACTGTTCAGCTCCACAACTTTTGATTTCCAGCCCAGCTCTCTGTAATCACTATAAGTTATCTCTAAATCCTGCTCAACAGGACCAGGAGTGTACAGCCGGCCTTGGCTGTGTATGTACACTAATACTGTTACAGACAGTTCACCCTGGTATTTAATCTAACTATGGATTTAGGCCTCTTTTCTCCATTGTCTAGGTACAGAAAGCTGCAGGCCTGTAATGGTATTACTCAAGCCTAAACTTTGTTTTCTGGTCTAAAGGGGAAGATTTTAGTATTGTACAGTATTTTTTTTTTTTTAGAAATAAGGAAATATTGTGTAATCTTTGTTCCTCGGAAATTCAAGCTCTGATAAAAACACCAAATCCTGGCAGTAAAATTTGATTTTTTTTTTAAATCCATTTAATTTGTATTCATCTTTCTCCCCCTGAACCCCCCTCACCTCTGATTAACCAACCTCCCCGGTGAACAGCTAATTGTCTCGTACTCCTCCAGTTTTCACTGAAAAATAACGAGCCGCGAGTCTTTTAGGTGGGAATGAGCAGCATCTGCTCAAAGAATACGAGAGTGCGTATCCTGAGCAGACAAGGCTCAAATTAGTTTCATGTTTTTCATCAGTGAAGCATTCAGATGTTCAAGTTTTTCTTATTTATACAAAACAACAGTATAGAAATGTCAATTTAGTCACATTATGTGTGGTTTTTTAAGCCTCAGCAATCCCATATCTTACCCAGGTTCAGAATGTCCAGATGTATTTTCTCTGTGTGTAGCAGCAGCAGTGGCTCAGGACTGAACAAAGTGAGCAGAGACACTGACACATGGCCTGAGGCAACGTGTCCTAATAGAGTGCTGTTATATATTTGGCATTTAGGAAGGGCTCACAGCTCCTTGGCCCCCAAACTAACAAAGCAGGACAGACGCTCACCTCCCTTCACTATAAAAGAAGGGGAAAAGCAGAGAGAGAAAAGAAATAAATGAGAAATAAGTGAGCTTGTGTTCTTGTGTGCATGGAGACAGATCGCTGAGACAGAGACAGAGATGCAGACAAACAGTATTGCTGCTGTAATCACTTTTTGGCTGAAGGGGGGCGTGAAAGTTGATAAACAAGCATTTTGCAAAGAGTGCTGGCTGGGCTTCGGAGAGGTTTGCATGTAATGGGTAAAGTAGGGCTGGGCGTGGAGCTTGATGGAGGAGGGGAGGGGTGCGGGCGGAGGGTAGGGCCGGTCTGCTGCGGGACCCCTTGGATATGGACCGCATCCTTTTGTTGTCTCACCAGATTGGCACTGCTTTAAGTTTGCACTGAGTTTGTAGTGTGTGCGAACTTGCTGGCTGCACCATGGGTTCACATACAGGACAGTGTGTGCAGGGAAAAAGAACTCGGATCGTGTCTTTGAAAACAACAAAAAGAGAGGAGAAACATTAGAGATAATAGATCCAAGGAAATAAGATGGGCTGATGCACCTTGAACCCTGCAAAGGCCAGGTTTTATCCTGATGTTAATGTGAAAAGAGTCTTGTGGTTCCTTGCCTTTCAACCCTACTACAGGGTATTTGAATGAGCTATTGCTGCAGTCATTTCAAATTTGGAACATAATTCAGTTTATGGCAAAATGCAAATAATTTGAATATTTATTTTTGAATAGCGACGGTATGAATCGTAGCTGGTGAATGGTTACTGTTCCTGCTTCAGTTTACATTTTCAATAGTGTGGAATCAGAGTGTGCTGACCCAAACCTTGACTACAGATGGATAGTAACTCATACAGAAGAGAAGTCACTATAAACTCAAGGGCACCTCCTCTTTCACAGTGTTCTGCTACCTGCTGTAAAGGCACACAATCCATATAAAGATAAATGCTATGGGGTATATATATATGTACAGTATAACTGAAAAGGCAACAGATTTCACTGTAGCAGCTCAGCGGTGCATGAGAACAGAGAGCAGAGAGGGAGGAACTTCAGCTTGTTGTGGAGACCCTCAGATGAACTGTGTTAAAGCCGCACTAGTTAAAAAGTTCAGCCTTGGGCGTTGATAGAAGAATACTTTGCGCTCTCCCTGAGCTAGAAACTGATGAGAAAACAAATGTGACCACCTCAACTGTCACGATGACTTTTTGTTTTGATGTTAACAACGTCACCATTTGTGAGAGTAGCAAGAAAGGGATTTGCTTCTCCTGGGCAACCAGGAAGATGAGGAGAAGAGCTGTTACCTTGATAAAAAAAGGGTAGAGAGGGGGAAAAAGAACTGATTTATGTATGATTCATTATTTACTAACCATTCTTCACCCCATCCCACTTGCGCTGCCCATCCCCCTCCCACTTATATATATACACCCTGAAAAGCTGGATAAAAATGTGCAAATTTGATTGATCTTAATAGCAGACTGACAGGGACCCCAGCTGGGGCACTTAGCCATGACTGCACATGTGCTCTTAGTTAATAAAGGATTGTCTGCTGTATACTCAAATGCCCTGACCTTCCCTCAAAGTGGCACCCCCACCCTCCCCTTTCTTTCTTTATCCAAACCACTGCTCCATCCATTGGTGCTGATGCAGATGACTTCCTGCATCTTTTTTCCTTCTCTTTTGTTTCCCCAAAATCTTACACCCTCCCCCCTCTCCTCCCGTCCCCCTGCCTTGTCTCACCTCCTTGTTTCTTCTCTCTCTGGTGCTAGAAAATGAGTTTCGGGGCGAGCTGGTGAACCAGCGGTGGACGCGAGGCGAGAGGACCAGCAGCCGCTGTCAGGCCTCCCAGAGACTGCAGAGCCGTCGACCAATCATGGTGAGTGACAAGGCCCTGCAGCCCCTCCCCATCCCCCATCCCTCTTAACCACTCACCACACTTCCACACCCCTTCCAACCTGATTCTGCTTCCTGAGCATTTCCCCAATCCCTAACTCAGCGGGGAGAGTAAAAAAAGGGTGGAGGCAGAGGGAGGGGAGGATGGAGGAAAGAGAGGAGCTGTGTGTGTGTTGGGGAGGAGTGGGGGTGATGGTCACACTGGACAGAAAAACATGAATCAAACAGCACATCAAATCTCCCCCTCGGCCCTGCCCATCTTTTGCCTTAGCCCCGCTCTGCTTAGTTCAGTTTAGTTAAGCTCAGCATGGCACAGCTCAGCGTTTCCAGCTGCTGAGCTCACTTCACTTCACAGGGCTTTTTTCTGTTGAAACACAATAAAAAAAGAAACTCAAAAGGATGTCCTTGAGCTGCTCATACGTTTTGTCCACGATATTCTTCCGAATAAGCAGAATAGAAAAATTCTCTCTCCTCTTTTCCTTTCTGTTAGTCATCTGTGTTGTTCATTCTGTCTCGTACTGCAGTCTAAATCTTCTGACTCAGTTACCTTTTCAAGGTTACTTCTACATTCAGAAAACATCTGTTCTTTTCTTGTTGTGCATCACAACTGAGAGTGTAACACTCAACAAAGAGATGGAGGGATTGAGGGAAGATTTGAAAGAGAGGGGAAAGGGGTGGGGGTTCCCCTGGGTCTGGTAAAAGTAGTTTTGCTTCCCCCCAATGGCTCGGGTTCATCTGAAGAGATGTCTTTTATTGATTTGGTTTGATTTCTGCTGCTGAGGGAGCTGAGCAGAGAGAGGCGCCGGGTTCAAACACTACATCATGTGACCCCGTCCGTTTGGCCTGTCACACAACATTCTTATTATCTTTTTAGACTTGTAGTGAACTGAGGTGGGGATTAGAGCTGCAAAGATGTTCAGTTATGAACACTGAAACCACGTCAGGATGACACACACTGTAAATGACAAACCTCTGACAGCACACACACTCACATCTGACCCGTTCTGCAGTTACTCATGCT